TGTTAGAGTAGCTTTTTGGCTGCTTTCCGACTAATGGGTTTCTACTGAGGCTGGGATTGAGGGATCACAGCGTTGCACTCTGGCAAAATCCTCGTCACACTGTCTGAGCAGAGGAGCCCTTCGTACTGCCCTCGCTGAAACAATTAAGATCAGTAAAGGGCAGCCTGGCTGTAGGGCCGCATCTACACCAGAGACGAGCGTGAACGCTTAAAAAAAAAAAAAAAAAAAAAAAAAAAAAAAAAAGGGGGAGGAACACGAGCGATGCTATGCGCACCTTGCGATTAATAACCCCAGGAGCAGTCCTCTCCGTTAGGTTTTTAAACTACATCTTTGCTTCCACGATTTTTTAAGTTCTTGTTTTTTTTTTTTTTAAGAAAATATCTACTATTAGTAAAAGATTAAGTTATTCCTCCAAACCTGTGCAATTTCCAAACCAAACATTTTTTCTGTCCAAGCTGAGCTAAGGCTGCTAAGTGGCCACACTCACCCAACTGCTGCATCACTTAAGAAAAGCTGCTCTCCCAAAAGCAAGGCCAAGAGCAGCCAGGGCATAACTTTCCCACCTCCTAGGAAAGATGGGAATATTTTTATTAGGCATGCACATGTTATTAGAAAGAAGTCATTTTTCAAACAGCTCTAAGAGATCAGTGAAGAGAAAGCAGAGGGCTGTGTATTTTCAGCTCCCTGCTTTTCGTGGCGTATTTCACCCGACAGTTTCTTTCAAAAGACCCCAGACTTCGGTGCTGAGCCCATTCTGGCTTCCTGAATTTCCTAGGAGATTCAGGGTAGCTAAATACAGGGGCAACAGGGACAGTACTAGCAGGGACCCTTGCCAAGCTTCTCATTACTTATAACCCTGAAAAAAATAAAAAATAAATAAATGAATCAAACCTGTGTCAGATGGCCCCACCAAAACCATTTTCCTGGGGAGCATCAGGCTGCCATCTTTGAGGGCGCAGCGGGCGCAGAGCTGCTTCACTCGCCTGTCAAACACGCTCTATTTTTACCTTGCAGTCAGAGTTGTGCCCTGGCAGATTTATCATTTACTTTTGCCAGATGACAGGCTCGGCGCAGAGAGAAGCCCTTAGCCCGTGAGCACTCAAGCCTGCATCAAGCCTGTGGGTGGCAAATTTGTCCCACCTGGACTTCCAGAAAAATAAGTGGCAAAAATACTCCGGTAGCCGGGTGCTGCTGTGGCGTTTGAACCCCCATCACTTTCCACAGGCGTCCCTTCCGAATCGGGAAGCGTAAGAATAATTTGAGGGCGCTTAGGTCAGGTCCCCAGGCTGCTTTATAAACTCAGTGTAACTCACTGCCTGCACAATCATGAGAACTGTAACAGAGGAGACTTACAGATGCCTCCGGTAAAGAGGCAGCGCACGGTGCTGCCTGCAAGGAAAGCGCGCTCAGCCCTGGTGGGGAGCGGAGAAGGTCGCTTCCTCCCCCCAGGAAGGATTTCGAGCAGGCAAGCTCCTTCACGCATGATTTTCCCTTCTCTCCAGGGACCTTCCTCGCCTCCTCCTTGGCTCAGATGCCAACCCGAAGCCTCGCAGAGCTCTTCCCGCAGCAGCTGAGCTGCAGAAAGCAGCGGAGGCGACAGCCCCACGCCAAGGGGGAGCGCCCGGCCGCGCCGTCCCCACTGGGCGGGGGAGCTCCTGGCTGACACCTCGAAGCTGCAAAAGACGGAGTTGAAGCCAGAGAGGCTGCAGAGCCACGGTTACGAACAGGCGCTCCGCCGTTTGCCCCGTTTGGCGCTTCCTGCCTTTCCCTGGGAGCCGGCAGCCCCGCAGAGCTCGGGATGGCGCAGGCAGGATTGAGGCGCTGGGGGCCGCGCTGGTGCCCGAGCGGGCGCTTG